CCTGTTCTGTGAGAAGGACCTGGAGCTCTTGTGTCCCCAGTGCAGGGTCTCATCTGAGCACTGGGGTCACCTCCTGATGCCCATTGAGCAAGCTGCAGCGAGTCACAGGAGGAAGCTCAAGAGCTACATTGAACCCCTGAGGGAGCAAGTGGAAGATGCAGAAATGAGATATGAAGTCCAAGAGTCAAAATCTTTTGAAGTGCGGTGGAGGATGGAGAATTGGAGGTGGAAATTACATTATGACTTTGAAGAACTTAAGTGTGTCTTGCAAAAGGAGCGAGGTGCAATTTATGCTGGGCTACTTACTGAAAGGAAGAGTTGTGAGGAAAGATTAATGGAAAACAAAAGCCAAATTTCAGAGCATGTATCCACGCTAAGTAATCTGTTACATGAAATAATGGAGAAGTGTTTGCAAGCAGACCTAGATTTACTGAGAGATATTAAAAGTATCAACAACAGGTCTTAACGCATAGACACCCCAGCAGTTTTTTCATATGAATTACAACAAGAAAGTTGTAGTCTCCCTCCACACTATTTTGGCTTGCAAAAAATGATCAGCACGTTTCAGGTAGATTTGACACTAGATCCTGAAACTGCCCACCCGAGTCTTGTTATCTCAAAAGACAGAAGAAGCGTGATATTCAGTATGTTAAAGTCAAACTTTCTTCACAATCCTCAGGCATCTCCTTTATATCCTGCAGTTCGCAGTTGTGAGAAATTTCATGCTGGGAGGTATTTTTGGCAGGTAGAAGTAAGAGGCTCAGGTCAGTGGTCCTTAGGTGTGTGTAAAGAATCTTTCCCTAGAAATGCTCTGGTGTCACCATCGCCACACAACGGCTGCTGGCAAATTCAGCAGTCCCAAAGCCCACGTGCTGCGTGGGATACAGTCCAAATCATGCACATTGGCATTTTTCTGGACTGTGAGCTGGGAGAGGTTTCATTTTATAATTTAAACAACAGATCACATTTGTATGTTTTCACTGATGTGTTTGCACAGAAGCTTATGCCTTATTTCTCTATTACACCTTCTTCAAAATCTCTTACAATGAGTATCATCGGAGATGAATGATTAACTACCTGGAGAACCATTTTGCATGTGGCCATATTTCCTTCTGGTGTTTTGGGGAGGACTTATAATAAAGACTGTGATTTTCTGCTTGACGTTTGAATGCTGACATTCTTTGGACTCACTTTTTAATATTCCTCTTCTGTCCAACATCTGGGCAAGCTGATGAGAAAGCCTGGGTGCTTCCTCCTTTGTCACAGGTGAGACATTCAAACCAAGCAAGCCCCTGGGAGGGACCACACCCTCACGCTAGCCCTACCCTGTAATCATTTTAGCAACCCCAACCTTGTCTCTTTTCCCTGCTCTCTCAAGTCATTGTTAGAACCACTTAGTAACCACTCTGCTCTCCCCATAAACTTTATCATGTGAATAATAAATCATTTCATCCCCTCTTGGTGTGTGGCATCGTCAGTATCAACACTGAAAAAATGTATGTGGGTGGTGACCCTGGGTCTTTCAACTGACCCCAACAATTAGCATTGTGACCATGATTATGGAGAAGTTGGGACCAGCATCAGGGGCTTCCCCTCTTGCTTGGGTTTGCTAATGGGCTCTGCTGCCCCATGGCAAGCCTGCACTCTCACCTCGGCTGTTCTGTGCTTCGTTTACTGAATTCTGCTGAGGGTCTGCTAGACATTTAACTGCCCTAAGTTAGAAGTTTTCATAAGGTGCTG